ATTTTCGATCACTCCCCATACAACACCCTGTTTTGAAAAGTCGTTATATGGAAAAAAATTCAATTTTCAAAATTACTCGACAAAAGTGGCTAAGTGACACTATTTCGGCCTTCTAAATTGGTGTGAAAACTTTGAACCGGCTGGGGCAATTTTTGAACCCACTCTCGTATAACGAAAACTAAAGTTTATATGGCAAAAAGTTCTTATTTTAATACTTCTTGATGAAAGTGATGTCATAACTTTAAATTAAGATAAAAAAATTAACTGTGGAAAATTGGGACCATCCCGGCCTATTTTTTGGATGCTCTCTTACATACAGATTTTGACGAAAATCGCTTCTTTGTAGAATAGAAAAGTTCACGTTTTAATATGTTATGACGAAACTTTAACATAATAGTACTTTAAGATAAAAGAATTCACTGTAACAAATCGGGAATACTCACGCCTGTTTTTGGATCCTATCCTATGCAAGAATTTTTACGAAAACTTTTGCTTTTTCGAGCAGAAAAGTCCTAAGTTTTTATATATGTTACAATGAAAATTGCTCCACTATGCTGAATTTTAAGGTACGTACCACAATTTTTGAACCTTTTGGCCACCACCATTCTTACATGAAAGTCTAATTCTTAATATATAGTCACATAATGGTAAGTTCGTAAAAAAACATAAAAATAATTTTTGCGTTCTATGGCGAAAATAATAATTGTGTTAGACAATGTGGTGTAGGGTATTTAACAGTCAGCCTAGCCCGAGTATGGTGTTTTCATAGGTTTGTGCTATATCTGAAAAGCCTTTATTTTCACAAGTTTCACGTGTAACCAAAATATTTATAAGCAAAGGTATGTAATGCAAAGGTAACTTTATTAAGATATGTGACGAAGAATTTCGGTAACTTCTACTTGTAAATTTAATATTCCCCTAACTTCACCTAACAGAGTTTTACAAATCCGGTCAATGGATTAGTGCAGATATGAAAAAAAATGACTTATGGTCTTCATTATGTACATATCAATAAGAAAATCTTATGACTAGTTTTGACTTTTTGTTTACTTATAAAATAAAAAGAATGCCTTAGAATGGGAGAGATTTGCAAAAAATTTTCAATCTTAAAAAACAATTTACATAACTAATATTTCCTTTCCATACTAATATATTCTTTTGATTTTATAAGCAAAACGGAATAATCTGGTAATAGTTAATCGGACATGAGTAACTAAAACACTTTGACTTTATCCGCTTTCCAGTTCTTTCAAATCTTTTGCATTCGCAGAATTGCGCTATCGAAAGGCTATAAAGCGTAGTTGTCCAACATTTCGACTTAGCTAGGCTCATTCCAACATCCAGACAAAATCGTCAAGCATCCTACAAAGAACGCATTATCGTTTATTTTAAAGGCGAAGCATAAGAGATACAAGAGCTTACAACATAATATTAGGAGTAATTCAAAGTATTAATCTTAAGACTATATATATTATGGATAGATAGATAGGTTCTTCGCTGTTTTGGATGTAAAGTCATCTAAGCCAAAATAACCGCAAATGTACAAGAGTTGGTTAAGTTTGTGCCAATAATGTATGCGACACATTCAGTAGGACTTGAGACAGATACCACTTTTATTATCTTGATTGCTTGTCTGTCCATCTGACCATTTTATGTTTCTTGGTGTTCAATCTGCTGTTCTTCAATATTCGAGATATTTTTGTGAAACTTGGTACACCGGCCTGTTTTGGCCCACGGACGAAGACTATAAATGGTTTGAATCGCATCTCATTTTTCATCACTTCCAATATACGGCCTTATTTCGCAAAGATATTACATGATGAGCCCCATCCCACTATTGCACATTAATTTGTTTTATAATAAATGCATATTTTTAGAAAAAACTTTTAAGGTAAAATATATTTCGAAGGAATATTTTTGATTAGCGAGATTTTGAAACGTTTTATTCATGTCATGTTGGCTGTTGTTGCAATTTGGAAAAGTTTAAACTGATCGCCTTAAGTCATTGATAGATTGGACCAAAAAAAAAAAAAAAAAAATCAAAAATTTCAATATGTTAAAGGTGATCTAGAATCCAATCATATTGTATTAGGAGGATTATATTCCATATTTTCGAAGGCTTCTGCTTTAATATAAAAAGCATGAACATAGGTATACCGATTAATAACAAGAAGTTCTTTAGTCAGATGGTATCTTCAGAGATATGTCTAAGCAATGCACGGTGTGTTGAATAGAAGCAATTTGATGATTTGGTTTCATGGGCTTGAAAAAATTTTTTGGAGTCGTCTGTTAATCAAGAGGACACTTTGTTATTGGTTACGATCGTTATTGAGGGCTTTCCTTGGTTTCAAAAGGCAAATGTTTACCTTATTTGCCAAAGGGAAGAAAAAATATCCATCACAATCCAATAACTTGGCAAAGTAAGGCCTTTTGTACTCTACATCACTTGTAGTAAGAGTATATTCAGTTTGCATGGATGTACACTTCACTTAATTATGTCAAAACAGAATTTTCTGAACAAACCAAGCAATTGCGATCGTCTCTGTTGTTGATGTCTATTGCCCCTAATTGCGCACAGCTTTTAATTGCCTTTGAATATGGCTTTTGTCAGGTCATTTTTATGATCGGTTTTCACATAAATCCTTATTTTGAAAGTTACTCTTTGAAAAGGAAAAAAAATTCCTTTCTAGTATTTCTTGAGAGAAGAAGGCGAAAAATAATATTTTGATACACTAAGTGAATGCGTTTTTCTCTCAGTGTCCCTCAGTGTCCCATGATAAATTTTGATATATCCACAAATAACGATGAATTCTCGCATGTGATAAAACTTAGTAAAAAATATTGATACAGATAGATAGACTCCCAACTCATATAGCGATATTTATGAGAGGTAAACTCTCTTTTAAGTACTTTTTGCTCACTTCGATGGTATTTGTTACGAGGAAGATAAGTAAAGAATTTTATTAGATGAAGTAGTTTAGGAGGTTTACTAATCCATCTTGATTCACTTTAACTTTTCAAAATTATTTACCTACAAAATTAACTGCAAGTAATTGTTGCTTGTTGATGTTTTTGAGTAAAAACTCAAAATCACTTCGCCCCAAAGCAATTTTTCATTTAAATCGGTTTCATTTTTCATTCGAAAGCATTACTTTTCATATGAAATGCAATTTGCAATTTGATCAAATGTCCTCCAAATTTAGCAAATTTACTCTCCTAGGCAAAGATCTTGTTATACTTCCCCTACTTTTATTATAAAGTATTAAAAAATTATTATTTTCTGCCATTTTACTTTTCAGGGGAACTCCTATAGAGGACGTGGATCGAAAATAAAATTTACATGCAGCAAATTTGCTTGCTAGACTACATTTTGATATTGTGTCTTCAAAAAATTTCCCCTCAATTCCAAGCGTCTATGTCAATTCAATTTGCCAGAGCGCTATACACTCGACTTTTCAATATGAAGGCTTATATGTGTAATTGTCGTAATAATGTTCCTATCCAATCTGCTTTTAAACAAGATTCGTCTTTAGCGCTAGCATCAGCTAGCTAAAATGTCTTGAACGACCTTGGGATGGTTAGGAGAATAAAGGAAGCTTAAATCGGTGCAGAATGTAATTCCATCCTTCTAGGTGTGATATACTTCCTCAAAACTCAATACGCCAGATGTGTTATGTAAGATAACTTCTTTGAAAAATCCGATCGATGAGATTTTGAAGTTTGCCGCTTATGTATATATAGAAATAATGTCCATATCCAGGAAATAAATGATTTGAAAAAGTTGTTACAAGAAATATGTTAAACATTAGACAGAACATATATGGAATTCAAATGCTTCCATTGGCGATTTATTAGGCGGGCTTATTATGTACTTCGCGTCAAGCATCGCGTTGTTGATCTCACTAAACATGATTAAACTAAACACTAGGTAGGCATAGAAAGACGGTCCCCATTGCGGAGAATAATTTTGCGATTATTATCGATATCTTTTCTAAGATAACGAAATCTTATAAGCGCGTGCACAATCAAGTCCTGCAGGGCATCGTGACCGCCAAGGGTCTTCCATTTCTGGATTTCATCGATGCGCGCGTATTCCGGGCCACATTGTACTATTTCTTACGAGCTTTCACTACGCGAGTGTACGCGTCTATACTCACTAAGTGAGTTCAAAGTAGACGGCTGCAGAGAGAACAACTTTGAAAAAAAAAAAAAAAAAAAAAAATGTGATTTACATTGATATTCTACAAGCGACAAAATGAATAATGTAAGTGTAGGTGAAAGATTATTCATTGAAAATTGGCTCAGTTATTAATTGGTACACCTAGTATATGCAGATGAACAATTAATGACTGTTTGTGTCCATGTACTAAATTAAGCTACGATCTAAATTAGTTGACAAAGGCGAATATATTCTGCTATTTGTGTCTAATCCATTACTTGATGCTTTTTGAACGGCGAACCGCAACATCAATCACAACAATTTACGCAATTTCAATATCGATAAAGAAGAAGAAATTAAATCAAAGCTCGCTCTTTCTCGATTGAAATCTGAAGCATTGATTAAAAAAATCAAAAAAACATTTTTTTTTTTTTTTTTTTTTTTTTTTTCAATGTGCATTTTTTTTTTTTTAACAAATTGTTTTGAATTGTTTTTTTTTTTTTGTTTGGTTTTGTTTTATTTTTTTTTTTAATTTTGTAAATTTTTGTTTACATTTATTTTATTCGCAGCCCATCCATGCATTTTTTTTTTTTTTGTTTTTTAAAAACATACATACATACATACGACATGTTTGCAGCATTTTCTATTAATTTGTGTGTTAAACGAGTTTTCCGTAAATATAACAATCAAACATCAACGTACACGGATCGCGCATATATATTAGACATGAATGAATAAAGAAGCAACTAATTTACAAGAATAAGTGACACAGTGGGGTGATGGGGGGGGCGGGGGCGGGGCTGGGGCAAGTATTAGAAATAAAATGGGGCATCATCGGCGATTATATTTCATACTTTTTGACACTTATATCCACTTGACGTTTACGTTTGCGCTGACTGGTGTAATAGTGATAATTTTCATTGTATTTATCTCTAGGTGTCACAGGTGCAAAGAGTTGACTTTTACAGGTATTATTGGTATTATTACTGGATAGAACATTGTTTTGATAGGCGGCCCTAAAGACAACGAAAAGAATGAGAGTTTTTTTTTTATTTAACTTATTTGGCTTAGTTGACTGGGAAGAACGAAACATTTTACGAAAACTGTATTGAAAGCTTTATGGTTATGTTTAAAGGAAAACTTTATTATTGTACATATCACAAGCTTTTTATTTTTGCTTGTGTCTTTTTTTTTTTTTTTTAAGTTCTTTTCTTTAGTTCATTTTGGTTTATTTTTTTTTTTTCAAAATAAATTATCACATAAAACTTCCAATAAGTTTTCAAGACTTATATTTTGCTTACTTTTTATATATGACTTAAAGTTTTCCTTTCAATAATCCATTAAGCTTTATTTCTCTAAATATATTTTTTGAAGCTTTTCAATGTTTTAGTACATTTTGTGGTCATTTGTGCTCGTTTGTCGACGTTTAATAAACGAGCTAATATTGGACTAGATAATTAGTTTGGCAATGTTGCTGATAGATTTTTCTATATATACAGAAAACCATAAAAACAGGAAATGGATGAAAACAACAATCAATGCAACGTACATAGTTTGCTTGAGATGAGCGATCTCTTCCTCCATCCGACCAATTTTCTCTTCTTGTTTAACTCTCAACATTTGACTGCGATCATTACTCTCTTCTAATAATTTAATCATATGTTCCTGATTCGATAATTCCATTTGTTTCGCACTTATTGTTGTAAATAAATTACGAAATTCTTCCGATTTGATTCTAAGTTCGTTGTTAAGCTTACAATGGGAACAATAAAGAACACAATAAAAAATAAAGCAATTTTGAATATTTTGAATAAAAAAAAAAAAAAAACAAAAATTTAAAAAAAACTCTTTTTTTTTAATCACTTTCATGTTCTCGTAAATACCTCGTTAATGATGTTATTCTTCTCGGCAACTTGAGCGTAAAGCCCTTCCGTATGTATGCGTTGATCTTTCTCATTGGTTTGCAGCGAATTAATTAATTTACTACGAACATCTAATAGCTGTTGATCGCGTTTCACTTGCTCCTCCAATTGCACCCCATTGTACTGGGCTTTGGACAATTCGATTTTAAGTTTCTCAATTTCTCGACGTTTCTCCGCTTCCGACTGACGCAGTTTAGCCACCTATGCGTATTAAAAGAATTCACTTGACTTAGGTAATGTTGGCAAATTTTAAACTTACCTCCATTTGCGCTTCTTTCGATTGATTTTGATTGATATCTTTTAATTTTTCATTAGCTTCCAACGAATCCTGTAATTCGCTATAAATTAAAACAAAAAAAAAAAAAAAACAAAAAAAACAAATCAACGAATGTCTTTAATGCGCAATTAAATTAATTCCGACGTTCAATTAGACATTGTAAGTTTCATTGTTCATTCTTCTTGGTAATGAGGAGTCATACTAAAGGTATATAATTATAGCGATAAGCCATAAGTGATCTTATAAGCTGTAAAGTAATATTGGGCAGTTTATGGATATAAAACACGTTCTCAAAACCAACAATCGCACTGCTTAAAAAATGCTTCTCAAACGGAGAATAGGCGAACGTTTCATTGGCCTGCGAATAAGCCCCATGTGCAGACAATCATCACCAAATAACGTCGACCACAAGGAAGCAGGTCGGCGTTTAAATAACGCTTGAGCGTGAATGTGGTACATAACTCTCGTAAAAGCAAAGCGTGTTTTCATTAAGCCACACGACACAAATCCATCGGAAGATTGAAATTACATTGACCAAAAGAAGGGTCCAAATTTTTCTCTTTTTTTAAGAGCACGCTCTAGCATGGCTTGTGTCTTCATGAAAACTCAATTATATTTTAGATAAGTTGCAACAACAATGCACCAATTGTCGTTGACTCGAGTCCTTCATGGTTCATAATATGATACAAGACTTATGCTTGCTGTGAAGAGTGCTTTAAGTAAGCCAAACGACTCAAATTCTTTGGAAGATGAAAACTACATTTGACCCAAAATGTTCCGAATCTTCTTAATACAACTCACTTACGTGCCTTGCATCTTCATGAGCAGATTTTGAAAACTCTCATAAAAAGTAGCTGCCTATTCATCTCATAAAAAATAAAAATGATGCATATCTTGTTCTTGAACTAATTGTTACTGTGTGCGGCAGTTTTCTCCAAACCAAATAAAGTTTAAAAAAAAAGAAAAACACTTTCTTGAATTTACGTTGTCAGGAGCAAATAATTAATTAGTCCTCATAAATATTTTTGGCACATTTACGGTCGTTTGCTGCGTTGTCTTAACACATCACTTATTATGATAATTTATGAATGCTACGTAAGAACGACGTCTCATTATGAGAACTACAATGCGTAGCAAGTGAATGATTACCGTAAGAAGAAGCAGAAGACAAATGTGTTATTTCCCTTATTTCTTCGTGCAATAAGAGCGAGACAAAAAATATTCAAAGGTACAATCTTAACACACAAACAACTATCAGAGCCCTTTGCAAATTATTTTTTAAAACACGACCGAATCTCAACCGGTCTTCTTACGAAAACCTAAGCTTTCCTTTCAACACTCTTTCTGATTCTAATGTTGAATTACTTCATGCGTACTTTTGACTGGGGTGGTCTCCCTAGTTGTGGAAAATGAAATAAAGACGAAAGCCCTCTGAAATGCTAGAAAAGCGAAAAATCGTCCCTGATATGAAACCCTCTGCGCTAGGCTCTATGTATTGAAACAATTGACTTTTGCCAAATATAGTCGTTCAATAATTTTTAGTTTAGCTGCGTTGATTTCCATGTTAGTTCGTATATGAAGAAGCAAAGATGCGATTAAATAATTTTTTCCATATCCCTCCTATCGTCAAGAAAAGAAAACATTTACCTTATGACGCTTTTTCCTTGGAAGATACTATGTAATCCTAGTCTATAGCTCACATGCACATGTCATAAAGAGATGTACCTTTTATGCATAATATTTTAAGATCTGCTCATCAGTCTCATGTTGTGGGTACATAAACCGAGACCTAATTATCAAGAGTGAAGTGATAGGCTGATGAACACATGTTACTATAAATGCATGCGACTATTGTCGAGATTGAAGGTAGCGGCAGATAATCTGTCTAGGCGACGGCAAGAAATGATCAAGGCAGATTTGCCTTGAAACTTTGAAACAACTGGAATGGTACGTTGTAGATAGGGAAAAAGAAAGCCTAGAAAGAATAGGCAAAGTGCTAATAAGAAGACAAGATAAGACAAGGTTGGTTAAACGTAAGACAATAAATTGCCACCGCAATTAAGATTAATATGACGTCAGAACAACACGCTGCGTGTTTGAGTTATAATCGTATATTAGAGAAAAGTTTTGAAAAAATTCGTTTGCGATTTGATATAGTTTGACGATCAGGTAAAATTAGAAAATTTCAAGTGCTTTGTAATCATTTTGATTCTTATCTCGCCATCTACGTGATTTCACGGGCAATGAAGACACTCTTTTTTCTAAATACACTTGAAGTTGCGACAAAGAAAGTGATTAAGGAAAAGCAAAATAAAATTTACTCACACGACGCGATCCTCGGACTCTTGCAGTTGCCTTTTCATATTAGGATAGGTTGAGTTTTCCTAAAATTGGAAGAAGAACAACAGCATATATATATAAGAGATTTGCATTATGTACGGTCTTCTCATCACATGCCTTTTCCAACATTGCGAGCTGATCTTCCAGGGCTCCCTTTTCGATTCCCAATTGCTCTATAATATTTTTTAATTTCTCAATATCGCTTTGTTGCTCTTGAAGTAGTTGACCTGCATTTAATTCTAAATCCTGTTTCTCTTTCATAACGTCATCGAGTTGCTCGCGAGCTGCATTTAGTTCTTTCGCTAAGGACTCGGCTTTCTCCTCTAAAATGTCCTTTTCACCTTTCAAATGCAATTCCAACTGGCTAAGCTTTTTGGTCATATTTGAAACACTGAAACCAATTCAATCCAAAATGATAATAAATGATCAAGTACTTTAAAGATATATATGTGAACGTTTGCCAGAGCAATTACTTTGTTGTATTATTTTCCAACTCATCTTCTAAAACTTGCTTTTCGTTTCTTAAATTCTCATTTTGCTTTTCCAATGCTTTCTCTTTCTTTTGCAACTACATGGAAGGAGTATAATAGAAACTTCAACTGAATATTACACATGAAGACATTAAATACCTCCGATATTTGAAGATCTCTTGTGGTAATATCTTCTTGGCATTTTGCCTTGAACTCAATTTCCAAATCATGAACTTTATCGTCATAAGCCTTTTGCGCGTCTGATAACTTCTTATCGGCCATTTTCAATGACTTATTGCATTCCTTTAATAAATTCGAAGGCTATCCATTGATTTTTCATCGCCATCTTAAGTATGATTATTTAATAATTCACCTGTAATTCTCTTTGCATTTTCACAATTTGAACGTCGGTGCTATAGTTTGCGGGCTCATGATTTGGATCGCATAAGTCATCCAGATAAGCATTTAACTCCTTTAAGGTGGTATTCTATTTATAAAATCAATTATTTTACATACGATTGTACTATTTTGATATAACCAAAGTGTACCTGAAGTTTTTCATAGATCTCTCCATGACCTTCTTCATCGAGGGTATGATAGTCTTTGTAATAATCGAATACCGATTGAACGCACTTACTAAGGGTTCCCCGTACACGTTCCTTAAATTCACCAATCGAATGAGCGGCTGTGTAGATTTAATAGGAAAAAGAAATTGAAAAAGAAAACATTTAATGAGATAGCGATTCAAGAAAATTCGAGAGAGAACTGATCGCGAGAAATATTGACATCAACTTCTACAATTCTTCAATTATCTGCTATAGGTCGTTTGTATTTATTGCCTATGGTAAGCATTATTTTTTTATATTTGATCGGATGACCACAATCTTATTTTTTTTAATTTGTTGCGGTTGTGAGCTCGCAAATAACAGATGTCAGGCCGAATGACGGACAGGTAGAAAGCTTAACTAATCAAGAATGTGTATATCCGCCTTTTCAAACAATCTATGCTTCAGTGCAGGACTCTACGTAATTCAACCTGTCCTAGCAACAATTTGCATGTCTTCGAAAATAATCTCTATGCCCAAAGTGTAATGTTATCACCTACGTGAATTAGGTAAGAACATGAAATGGCTCCACTATTATAAGAACAAACCGCCAAAGTAGATCTTAAATTATATTTCACTTCCACGATTCGGCAAAAAGTATATTATCAAATATATTGCTAGCCTTCGTAATAGCATCGGATTCCAAGATTGCATCGGCCTTTTTTAGGCTGGCAAACAGCAACAAAAGGCTTTCTTGAGGCTCCTTATGGTGCCTTGCTTGTGAACAGAATTTAGAAACGAGAATTTAGGCTCAAATTTATTATTCCAAGCAACAGTTGGAAGCGTTCATAACTATAAATAAAAGAAATTGGCGCAATTCCCCGCAGACCTTTATTTGACTCGATATGATAGGTGCTTCTAGGGTTGAAAAACAAGTGACAAATTTGATGTATTCTTGAAGCACTCAAAGCAGATTTCTCTTAGCGACTTACTACAATAGTTAGCACTTTTCACTCTCCCGACAATTGAGTCTTCGCTTTCGGTAAGATTTCTGATTTCCTTTTTGGAGTGTTTGGAGCTTTCATGGGATATTCACTTATCGCTTTTTGCTTGAATAGTAAACATGGACTTAGCTATGGCACTTATTTTAACTACTACTGTGACTTTTGAAGCATTTTGATTAAGCGTCAACAGGTTAAAAGTAATCGGTTCTGACAGAATACATCTATTTATGGACTAAACACAATTGGCCGAAGAACGTAAGGGAAGAAAGAAAGTTGTGTCAAGTAAACGGGAAATAACCTCACACATGTTGTGCAATAAACATTTTGGAAATTGATTTTAATCTAAGTCTCAACTACTTTAATAAGGTAATCATTCCATAGAAGCACCACATTGTTGTAGGTTCAAGTCATGAGTTCAAATTTATTACTATATTAGGGAAAGGCATGTGCTAAGCAACGCAATCGGATTTGTGAACCGAAAATCATTTTTCGCCACAATTCACCGAGATCACCGAAATGTTTTCCAATAATAATTTAGCAATGGGAAGTCTATGTGATTTTTATACTTACGCAACGCTTTCGGTGCTTTCTTCATATGCTCTTCATTGACCAACAGTTCGCATTTATCGTTACGCACCACGGATATAAATTTGTAAGTGCCTTTAAGTTTATCCGATGAATTCAGCTTCAAAGATTCTAGCTTTTGACAGAATTCACTTTGAATGTCATTTAAGCGTTTTTCCATGTTTTCAAAAGCTTTCAATTTGTTATTCTCGTTGACCCGTTCGCGGGGTGTTAAAGCGAAATTCTCATGATCACCGGAGTTTGATTTAATTTTTGGTATAGGTGCGAGAGTTACATCGCTATTTTCCTTACTGAATGGATGAGAGCTACACCCAGACATTGTACTCGCTATATATACACACATATATACACATAGATATAGATACATGTAGGATTGAAATTTTTTTACATTTCACAAAAAATTCACGACTTACCACTACGTCGCCTAATACCTGTTGGTAAATGACCGCGGGCGGTATGATTTCTTGGTGTAGCTTTACCGGAATTATTCGACGAGAAACTGGCCTTAGAAATGTTCTTTTTCAAAACTTTTCCAGTATCCGGGGGACCCAAGCTTACTTTAGATTCATTTTCATTTGAGATTTTCAATGAAAGAGACGACGGCCTAGCCGTGTTCGTTTTATCAAGTGCATTAGACGGCACCAGTAAAGTGGTAGACTACGCATTAGAAAATCAAAGAAAAAATAAAAGAAATTTTGAATTGAAGCCTACTTTAACTAACCTTCGTTGGTATTTTCGATTTAACATTACTGTGTAGATTCTGAAAGTATATCATAAGCAAAAAAATTTCAATTTAAAAATCATAAGACCCGTTTGTAGCGTTTAATTATAGATATACGGACCGCTTTTTTATTTGTTGCAATTGGATTTGTTGTTATTCCTTTATTGTTTTCTGCTTTTTTATTTCCAAATTTATTTACGAAATTTTTCGGATTCAATTTTGAATCTTTTTTTAAAGATGTCACCATATTATGTCCTGAAATGTGTGTGGTTTGTTTGTTTTTTTGTTCTTTTGCCTCCTCGAGCATAACGAATTTCGATTCGCTTAACTTACCATTTTGACCTTCTTTTGCGATTCCTCTGCTTGGCGATAGACTCATTTTTCTAGAAAATTTTTTTACTAAAATAAATACGGCTCGAAATAAAATTTGGTTAAATATTTATTATAATATGGAAGGAAACTGGATGGGGTGGAGGGCTTTATATTTTTTTTTGAATATATATTTTTTATAACTATTTGAAATGCTTGTAAATTTGAAAAAAAATTCTTTTAGGACAGAAAATAAAATTTTCTTATATATATATATATATATATATGCACAAAAATATAGAAAAAAATTACAGATTTTATATGACAAACACTTGAATTTTAATGTAGCGTTCACTTTGATAAGAAATAAAAAAAAAAAAATTTACTCTTATTTCTTATAATTACTTGTTGGGCAAAAATGAATGAAATGCTATTAAGAAACCGATTATTCGATTTAATCGATTACCTTTAGCTTTTTAAAATCCGCACGTCAGATGAATTCCATGAGCCAATTGAATCCCATTAACGACAACGGAAAAGATAAATTATTTGATTGAAGTGTTAAGAGAAAGGACGAACATCTATTTAAGAGGATGAGGGGGTGATTGTTATCCTTTTGTTAAACAATAATATAATAAAGAATTTTATTTAAATCGAGTTGATATGGCGACGTGACTGATTTATATCACAAACTCGGTAAAATATGAACTCGGTCTTCGCTTTAGAATACATGCCTATGAAAATCACCAACACAGACATACTTGGGTTATTTTAATAAAATTTAAGATTTTATTCTAATTTTTGAAGCGCATAGTCCCCTTGGTGGCCTTTTTTATTTAATATGCACTCAAAGAAAGAAGTGAAGACTGCAGCCTAGAGGATGTACGGTAAGTGTTATGACTTTACCTACTGATCACTCGTCGCAGCTATAATCTAAGTAAGCTCTACCGCACTTGGAATTTGAATCTATTCTCACCTGCTAAGCTACTCATGCAGATAATCTCTAAAGAATAATTTACATCTCACTCAAGCAAAGCAAATGTAATAGAGAAAATATGTTTGGTTGTAGTTTAAAATGACAGTCAAAACCACAAGACTAGATTGCTTCTTACATTAAATTGAAACGGAGATCCAAGCTTTTCTTTCCCCGTAAGACAACATTATGCGTAACAATTGTGCAAGCATTTTCTCTTTCAAAGGGAGAAAGAGTAGTTTACTGTCGGTGACGTGGGCAACGCTACCTGAGCAAATCGCAAGTACAAGGACTCTGTGTTCCGCTAAGCAATGAAAACGCGACGATGTAAGCATTCTCCTTTTCAAAGTAGGAAAGACAGGCTTAGTGTCGTTGACGTGGGCATCGCCATCTCCGCAGATTGCAAATACACTAAGCAATGAAAGCGCGACCATTTTCCTCTAAAAGTGCAAATTATAAGCATTCTCTCTTTCAAAGAAGGGCAGACGCAGGCATGGCAATCTCAGCAGATTGCAAGTAGAAGAGCTCTGTGTGCCACTAAGCAATGAAGACGCGACAACTTTCCTTTAAAATTGGCAATTGAAACACTTTATATAGTTTTCTTAAACTTTGCTTTCACGTTGAAAACGTCTTACCAAGCATATCAACATTCTTCCTGCACATCACAGTGGAGTAAAGTTTTTCCTATTACGAACTTGAACGTTATTGGGCTTAAATTTTTCGGTTTTTATTTAAATTGTGCAGTAGCGACGATTTTAAAGAGAGAGGAAATAATTTAAGAACTGAAAAAAATGCAACAGCAAGAAAAACCTTTGGTGGCTTGTAATCGTATCGAAGTGTGTTGTTTTTATTCAGTCGCCACATAAACTGCTGATAGCATGACTTGCGTTTTTAGCGGCCCACATGGCCAAATGAATTTTTTTGTCGAAAAAATGCAAATGTAAACAAAAAGAAAAGCGTAAAATTAAAATTGATTTAAGTCGAATCTCGTACCATCTAACACTGCTGTTATGTTT